TCTGTAGACTATGTTTACAGGCAGGCGCTGAATTACAAGGTAGAAGACAAGAAAATTACAAACAATATTTTGAATGGCTGCAAGGTTGTACTACACCAAAAAAGATATACTCAGAGGCATAACAATCTTATTAAATATGTCATTGGATTAATTGATATTGACCAATTTTTAATATATGTCTACATCCCGTCCCTTACCCTTTAAGGGGGAGGTACTGTTTCCCCCCCTCCCACCTCGTTGTGACCGCTCAGAAACCTGATCTAGTAATTATCAATAGAGTGGAGTAAAAGATGGATAATTGGAAACAAATATCAAAAATGCCAACACTCAAAAGATGAACAAGTATAAACATTTTATCACAGATATGTGTCTGTTCACCCTTTTAAAATAGGCTCAAGAGGATATATCTCACCATCAAATAAAGCAAATCTAAAGAAACTGCATAAGTTCTGCAAACCCAGTGTTAGTTTCAAAGCAATGTGCTAAAATCTATCAAGCCTCGCAGTGCTGTCATCATACCACATTTTTATAAATTGAAAAACACTAGACTGGGACCAAGAAAATCCATTTCTGAAAACCACCGCTGAATAACTAAACTATACTATTGCTTAAAGTCTTGTATTGCACCTGTTTTTTTGACAAACCCTGTCAATCATAAAATGCGATATCCAGAGAAAAGAGTATTAGTCTGTAAACTTTTCATCCTACTATCTGCCATTAGAAGGGCCAAGAAAAAGAATCATACTGTTTCTCTGGCGTTTTGCGATATTGCTAAAGCATATGATTCGGTGAATAGAGAACTGATGTACCTAAAGCTTGATTCTTTAGGGTTTGGGGGGCGTGTCAAAGCTCTGATTCACTCCATGTATTTTAACGACAATATTAGAGTACGGTTATGTAGAGGTTTGTCAAGGCCTTTGTGGTTCACACTAGGAGTTAAGCAGGGATGCATACTTTCTCCTATGCTGTTTTCCCTGTATGTCTCAGGACTAGGGAAAGTCCTTCATTCAATGAAAGAGGGGGTACAGTTTATTGGTGTCACTATAACAGCGTTCTTTTTATCTGACTACCTCCTTTTAATCTCAAGGACAAGCCCAGAGGGATGTCTAGACTTTCAAATGCAGTCCAAAGGTTTAGCTTAGACATGGAAATGAAACTGGCAGTAGTTAAAACAGTTGGTTTAAGTTATGGAACAAACCAAAATGCTTGGAAGGTTTCAGATACTGACCTGGATATTGAAGCTACGCTGGTAGCAAGATATCTGATGGTGGATATCATCCCATCACAGAAGGAAACCTAATGTAGCCTCGAGAATCCAGAATGATTAGTTGTGCACGTGCATTTGCTCATACTATTGTAGGGTGTACCCGTACAGGGTTGGATAGAGCCCTCACAGTCGTCAACTCTGGGAAATTTGCGCAGTGCCAGGTTTCTTGTATGCTACTGAGGCTATGGTCATATTTAAGACCACAGTTACAGAGCTGGATAAGATCCAGCACTTTGTGGCCTTGTTCATTCTCCAATTACAAAAATCATCTTCTCAGGTAATGGGATGGATGGAGGCTGGGCTGAGGCCAATCCAACACTGATGAGAAAGATAAAGGATTTTTTTAAGAACAGTTGCTGAGGCAATTATGTCCAACTGACCCATGGACTAAACAGGTTAACCTGATTCTCTCTAGGATTGGAATCCAGGACATTTCTAAGGTTTCCAGGTTCCAACTTAAGAGAATAATGGATAATAGTCTTATTGCAAGTATCCAACAGGTAAAAGGCAGTCATTCATCGTTGGATGGGCGGCTGTGGGCGGCTGAACCAGAGAAATGGTTTTGTCTAAACCCATGCATCAATGACTCAAAGGAGAGTGCTATTGTCAACAGAGTCAAGGCAGGCGATGATGGCCTAGGCAACAGAAGGCCAAATCATCTTCCATTGACCTATAAGATGTGCCCATGGTGTGTATCGGTAGGCATTCTGGTCAAACTTGATGAACAGCATGTCATTCTTGAGTGCCCAGGAGCCGGGTATGCAAGAAGAATGACAGAGTGCTGACATATCTTGACTCCCAGTCCCAAGTAATGAGTAATGGAATGACTCTGAGACCAAGAGGATCATCTTATTCATCTTAACTCATGATTCTGAAAAAGGACATTGGAGCATGTTAAAAAGAATCTTAATGGATAAGGGTAACCAAATTCTTAGAAATTACCTCATATGAAGCAAAAGAAAATTAAGAGAATCACATTATTCATTATAAGAAACAATAGAAACGGAAACATAGAAAGTAGAATCCAGAGAGGTTGTGCACCATGCACTATGATACTGGTTTATACTCTGCGGAATGTAAGTAAAAGGTTGCTGTAGACAAGGCTGTATTCTGTAGCACTTTGTCCAAGATGAACTTACAAGAATCAAGAATTCTTTTGTTGAAAATATCCACTCCTAGCCAAACCTTTATTATCCCATTTGACAATGTAAATCCTTCAAATTTTCAAACCCCACTTAGTAACTTTTTTTCCCAACCTTATCTGTGTCTGAAGCTAACCTTCACCAGTTGTTGAGTCAGACATTATTGGAAACTGCAATCACATCTGATATCTACTCACAAACAGTAACTTTCTATTCTACTTAATTTTGGGCTCTGAGATATCAAATTATTGAATAGTATGAATCAGAAATATGTGTCTAACTGCATTTTTCCTTTCTACAAGAGACTACAATGCATAGATTTAAAAGAGAATTACAGAAAACAGATGTATGATCAGATTCAAAAAAGATAAAACGGTTGGAGAAAGAAAAAAAAATAACAACCTCTAACAACCTCTAATGACCTAAAATGACCCCTAAAATAAATATGTTTTAACTATGGCTTTATGCATATAAAATGTAAGATAATAACCCAGGGAATACAGAAGCAGCAATGAATCCAGTGTTTGACTATCTAATGAACTCTTACAACCTAAAATGACCTCCAAAAATAAAAATGTTTTAACTATGGCATATTACCTGGGTTCCTAGTTTTTGTTTGATATGCATTAAGTCATTTTTGGAGGTAATATAGAAAATAAATTGTGAAATGTGGATAGTTTGTGATAGACATATTTAACTTTGGATTTAAAATTGCAGACTTTGGTTTCTTGACAAGTGGGTATTTGTTCTGATTGTTTTTTTTGTATCCTATCACTTGGACATCTGACAATCATTAAAGTTCCAGTCATATCTCCTCGCCAGTCTATAGTTTTCACTTGAATGACTAAGGACTAATGGCAGGTTGCCAATCTTGAGATTTATTTGTGGATCATATATATATCATATATAATAGATGATAAGAATATGAATCATTAAAGATGGGATGAGATCTTGTGCAGATTACAAAATATATGCCCAATATCTAAGACGTAGCTCAAAAACAGTCAGATATTTATTGTTACCTTCTATTACCCCTTTGTAAGCTAGATTGATAAATCAATAATGATCCAACCTAGAAATAATTGAAGATATTCCTCTTGGGACTTTCTGTTTATTCATTTTGATCCATTCGTGGAAGATTTTGTCCATCATGATTTCTAGCACCAGGCCTTTCTCTGGATACTCCGGTCTTGATCAATTATCAAATACATTAAGGTATTTATCAATAAAAGAGAATGGAGATAGAGGTTCCTGGTTCTCTGTGACAACATTAATAATGGCAAGCAGGTTGTTAAGCAGGAGCCAGAGGAGAGACTGAAGGCTAATTATAAAGATGAAGAGAGTGATTTTCTATTGGCTTGAAAATTTAATCATTTAATTGACTTCCAGGATTGGATACTCCTTTGAAGCTTAACTTTGACTGATTGTCAAGAATACTGAAGAAGAGTAGGAATCAGAGAGAACACTTGAAATACAGATTGAAATTGATAGAATTGTCTTCACCTAACAATACTGTGAAACATGAAAATTGTGTTTGACAGTTTAACGTCCGTTTTCAGTGTATTGAGATGAGTAGTGGACTACTGTACAAGGACAAGGATTTTTATTTTGCAGGCTTTAAAGAAGGATACACAACTAATGGAGAATTAGTTGATTACTATGACAAGACTTGTTACCACTGTGTTTGTGTTTGTCAGCTCAACATTCATCTTCAGTGTATTGTGATAAGTGGACTACCAAACAAGGTCAAGAACTTTTAATTTTTGGTACCAAAAAAATTCAGTGAACTAAAATCATGATGCTAATAAAGCTGGTTAATCCAATTAGCTGGAAAGCAGCCACCAGTCACAGTGTAACAACTCCCCATTGGATTTGTTATTGTTGAGTAAAATTGAGGTGGACATGGGTTGCTGGACCTAATGGTGGTTTGTTGATTCCATGTTGTTCCTATCAGAAATTACATATTCCTTTTAAAATATTCTCCAAAATATGATAAGAGATTTATAGATTTAAAATTTCAATATTCAAATGTATTATTATTATTATTGTTAGTTTTGCAATATGTGAGGCTCATCACTTTTCCCAACATTTTTTGTTGGACATGCTTGTTATGATAGATATTAAAGTATTCATTGATATGCTGTTTATTAAGTATTTATAAAAACCCATAATCTTTGCTTAATTTTTTTTAGTTTTTTTTGAAAGATATTCAAAAAAATCCGATGAAATCTACTTTGTATGTCATTTTAAACCTTTTTGTACATTTTTAAATTTGTTTCTTTATTTCTATTTTATTATTATAGATTCAACAGTGACTGCTAAGATGAAGTCAGCCATTTTGAATCAAAATATAAAATAGTCACAAATTGTAAATTTTTCAGACTTAAAAATAAAATGTTCTGTTGATTGATAGCTCTACAGATATACTCTTGTTATAAAGATCAAGGTTAAAGAAGAAAATCAGTAAACAAGTCAGTCTCACTGCTTTGCAGTTGAATAATACCTCAAAATTTCTAATAAAACAATGACATTAGTTAGGATTCCAAACATAACCCAACTATTTAAAATCTTTTCAAATTTCATTTTTATAGATTTCTCTATGGGCACCAGAATGGAGGAGCATGATTGGCATAGATCCAGAGACTCTAGGTAAAGTTTATATACATTTGAAATCCTTTGATCTTCTTAATAAAAATTAAATACAAAATTTAACGAAACATTTAATTTTAATGTCTAGGGGCAGGAGTAGAGAAAGATCACCTGATCTGCATTATTCTGGAAGATCCAGAGAAGAAAGTCGATCTCGAGAAAGAGGCCAAGACAGATCTACTGATAGGAGAAGGAGAGAAAGGATGGACTGGCAGGATTGTAGGGATGAGAGGGGGCAAAGGCTGGAACATACCAGTAGTAAGGAAAGACCTTCTGACCCCTATGTGGAACAATCTATGTTCAGGTAGTTTAAATCATTTTTGAATTCTGACATTTGCTGCATTCAAAATGTCAAATAGGCATATTGATTACTGAGTTAAGATTAATGATGATATTTATTTTATTCTTTGAACACAAATAATAAAAAAATGTATAATCTGTTGGTGTAATGTTTTCTTGCATTCTCTATTTAGACCTGCTCTTCATGTGTTTTATATATTTAGGGGCCCAGATGGTAGAAATCTAGACATGAAAATTGCTGCATCAACAAAAATCATGATAAGGGAAATATTATTTAGTAAACTAATCTTAAGTTTAAGCTTTTTTATCAAAAGCTAAATTTGTTTATGTGAATTTCTTGTGAAGAGGGCTTTTACCAAGCATTACTGTACACACTACATCAAATACAACTTCAATATGACAAATAATCATTTTCTCAGAAATAATCCAGATATAATTCCTGCATTTGGGTGTAATCGTCTTGAAAAAGCTGTTTATGGTTTGGGCAACACTCAATACTTCATGCTGCACAGGTTTAACATCTAAAGATAAATAGCCTCAATCTACAGGCATAATATAATGATAATAATATTAATAATAATTATAGAATAATAATAATAATAATTGAAGATTTGACTAAATAGCTTAATATTGGAAATAAAAAATGTGTGTCTCATTGGTCATCCTTCAGTAAGTTGACCAAAGAGATGTACAAGTGTTAATGAGCCTAGTTCAGATTTAAAATGCAATTAGATTGGAATTTAATACAATTTTAAATAATCTATCCATTTGATTTATAAGTTTCAATTTTGTGCAAAGCATTTTAATCAAAATATTAAATCCATTCTACTGTTTCTCCCACTTTTATTTAAAATTAAGCTTAAGATATAACGCCTTAAAATTTAAGAATTGTTAAGGAGGAAAGGTGAGGGTCGAAGACCCATGTTTGATTTTGATCGACCTCAGATTGAATCCCAAGAGATTTTTCAGCTTCCATCTTCAGGTTTGTCGTAGAATACTTACAGATTTGAAAAATTTCTTGAAAAACTTTTTCCCCTTTATTTAGTTGCTCAATGTATATTCAATAATCTTAGTCTTATTCAATTATAATTTTTCTTAGGCTTACAATGGCAGGTCAGATAAAATGTATTAAATTAGGCTTTAAAATGTGGTTTTCAGAATTTTTAGATTTCCAAAATGTCTCAATTGTGTTTGTTGAAAAAGATTTTGTGTTTAGGAAGAATGAAACTTCAGATAAAGAACAAAATCAAGAAAAAAGAAGAAATGACAGGAATATTAATTAAATTTAGCATTTTATCAACATTAAATTTAGCATTTGTTTTTTCAAAACTTATTATATTGTAATAAATTTATTTTTAATTGAAATATGAATTAGAACTTCAGTTGCAAATTGCAGTTGTTGCAGAAACTTTTCTCCAGGAGAGAAACAGGGTAAATATTTTTTTATAAAATTTACTAATTTACTAAGGGTGCCTAGTTTGAAAATGATTAAAACTTATGGAGAAATAAAACAAAATGGACTTGAAAGTTAAACCTGTGCTGCATTTTTATTTCCCAAACATACAGCATTTTTTTTATTTTTTAGGGGGGGGGGGAGATAGAGTGAGTAAATTTTCAAGATGAAGAGGAAATATTTTTCATCCTCATCAGAAAAATTGGTATGAAAATTATTTTTTAAGAATTCATTTCTTTTTTAGGGAAGAAACTCTAAAGAATCACTAGTACAGCCACATGTTGCTACTTTGGGTTTGCCAGTACAGATGCCTGTTCATCCAGGATATGATGTTCCTCTTGTTCCACCAGTTTATACTGTTCCTCCAGTAGCTCCAGGACAGGTTTACTCCAACCCTCCTCCCCTCTCGGTTCCTGTCTACTCTGCTCCTCCTCCCAATATTGGACCTGGATATCCTCAACTACCTCCTCCTGGTTATCCATCAGTAGTTTCCTCACTCCCTCCACCTTCAATATATAATCCACCTCCTCTGGTACCAACCCCAGCCCCAGTTCTTAACCCGTTTAGTTTACCACCTCCACCTGTGGCCTCCAGTGTACTCTCTTCAAATCCTGGCAAGGAACCTTCTATATCAAGGTTGGAAACCTCAGGAAATAAAGGTTCAAGTAGTGCTCCTAATCACAGGGATAGGTCTGCTATTGATCCTTGTGACAGCAGGAAAAGACCTTCAAATCATACAGGACCAAGAAACTCTGTTGATCCTTGGGAAGCTAGAGATTATCCAAGAAATGGGGCATCATCAGATAACAGGCAGAGGAACAGGATTGATCCTTGGGAAACCAGAGATCAACCAAGAAAAGAGACTAAATCAAATAAAATGGATAGGAACATTGATCCTTGGCAAAGCAGCAACAAACAAGCACAATCTAATGTGTCTATGATGAGAGGAGATACCCACACACATCTCATAGCCAAACAATCTGTGAAGTCCTCCAAAACGGCTCAGCAACAACTTCCATCACAACAAGGACAGAAAGAACCTACTGAGGTGGTTAAAGATGATGAATATTTTAGAAATTTGGCCAGACAACGAATTGCAGCAAAAACAGGGTCTGATCGTAGCGAGGTTGAAAAGGAATCTCTTCCTAATAAAGAACAAAATAAAAATGATGTTACTCCCACAAAACCTGTTCAAAACCCGTCTGCATGGGTACAAATTCAGCCAAATGTTTATGCCAGGCGCAAACCAAGAACAATGAATAAGCATCCTGATGCATGGGTACAAATTAAGCCAAATGTTTATGCCAACCCAAGAACACTGAAGAAGCCTCATGCAGGGGTACAAATTACTCCAAATTCGCATGTTAATCCAAAAACAGAGAAAAACCGCAAAACTCGATTAAGAAGACAACTAAGTAAAGCGAAGAAATCTGGTAATCTCCAAACAGAACAGACAAATAAAACTAATTTAGCCCCAACCAACCAAAAGGCGCAACCTAAAAAAAAGAAAAAGAAGGGAAAGCAAGTAGCAAATCAGATTCCTACCGGTATATCTGTCTCAATAACCCCCCAAAATGTACCAAAACCAACTCAAAATATTACAACAACACTGCCCTTAACTGGAGCAACTCCTTATAAAAAGGCTGTGCAACCTAATTTCAGTGGATTGGATAAGAACAGATTTAAAGATCAATGTAGTCGCAAATCTTTGATGGAAAACAACTCTGAATTCCCAACAATTGTAGAAAACAGGTAAAAAAAAGTGGTATATATTTTTTTAAAAATCAATCTCCATTCTCCACCCTCTTAGGATAGGCTACTAGCGCAAGGATCAGAGTGGTCAAAAGATTTTTTAACCCAAATGGAATCCTCGTGCCCAACTACCTATTAATTGATATACGGCATGTAAAACTTACAGTAAGATGACCCATAGTGTGACATCTGGCTACTAGCGCGCCGGTCAGAATGCTCCAAGGTCAATTTTGACCTCTGAAATGAACTCCGTTTCCCAATTTACCTGTAGTTTGATATATCGCATGCCACCTACGTTTTGAATTAGGCCCAACTTGAATTAAGATATATTTTTTAAATACTTTTTCTTATGTGCGCGTGCGAGTGGGGACTTGAGGCTCTAGTGCGCAAAATCTTCTCTAATCGTGTCCTGATGTAAAATTTCAAGCTCATTTAACGGTGAAAAGCATGCCCCCCTCTTTCATAATTGTTTACTCACCTTTTTATCACATGCTTTTTTCAACACTAAAAAATTATAAGAATTTTTTGATCATGTATTTGATAATGGGAAAGGGGAGAGGATGATATTTTTGCACTCTTACTGAAAATGAATCAAAAATACAGTTAGACTTACAATCATTTTGCTTCACAAAAATGTTCTTATATTACCCATAAAGTCATTTATTTAACTTGAGTAATTCAGTGATAACAACCAAACAAATTAACAAGGGTTAAATCCATTAAACCGTCTCAGTTTTGACCAATATTTTGGAAATAATTCTCTAAAGAATGTTAAATGTATACTCATTTTTGTTCTAAATGTTCTGAAATAAGATCAAAACTTGTTTTTGGTCGGATTTTGATGTATCTATTATCCAATTCTATACAAATTTTATTTCTACAAGAGTTAATATCATTTACAACATTTTTTGTACTTTATAAATCTTTTGCATTGGAATCTCTCTGGTGTCCATCGATTAATGTAATGAAATATAAAATCTAAGCAAATCAATGTATTCAGATTGTACAGAATCTTCCTACTTTATTTTTGTTATAATTTTTAATTGATGATTATCTGAGACTTATTATTACTTTTTTCTAGATGGGAAGGTGATAACTACTTTGGTGAAGAGAGTAGGCGAATTAGAGAAGTAGCTAGTCCAAGAGGTTTTGCTAGCAACGCTTCCAATTATATTGGTGAAGAGATAAGGCGGGTTAGAGAGATATCAATTCCGAGAGATATTGCTGAAAACACTCACAATTATGATCACCAGGCTGGATTCAGGAGTAGATCCTGTTCAAGGTCAATTTCAAGAGCAAGGACTGAGTTTTCCAGAAATTACCAAAACGACAGATATCCTCTAGAAGACCCAAGTGACCGACAGTTAAGTCCTCAGCACTCTGCCTTTAGAAGAGACGCGTTTAGTCCCATTGAAAGTGATGAAGAAGTGTTTGAACCCACAGGAGAATCCAGGATTTCTACTTCTATATATTCAAACCATTCAAGAATAGAGGAGAGCAGATATCCTGGGGAGGAAAGGGACTTAAGTCCTTATATTGTAAGGGATATGTCACCGGACTTGAGGGATCAAATGCAGCCAAGAGTTACAAGTTCTCACATGAATGAAACAGTTGGTCACGGGTTTTCACCAGGTTATTATGATGAACAAACAAGCTCATTTGTACAAGAAAATCTGAGAGGTAGCTCAGTTGGTAGATTTTCTGAACCTGATCTGGATCAAAGTTCTTTCTCTACCCATCCAGCTGGAAGATTTATAGAGGACGATCTAGGTCGTAGCCATGATGTTTCTGCTGTCGATGATTGGGATATTCATCCTAAGGATGATTTCTTTGACCAGCCAGTTCAAGGGAACATGAGGAAAAGGAGAAGATCTGTCAGTTTTGACAGAGAAGGACCTTCTCATAAAATCAGAGAACGTCCAGTTTTTTGTGACTCTGAGGATGACAGAGGGTTTGTTCACGGAGAATTCCGAAGTCCAGAAAATTATAGAAATGATCTGAATCAGAGAGAAGGTAATTAAACAAGATTTGTTTAAGAAAAGTTGTTGTTCCTTTCCAAATTTTTTCCGTTTTTTTTATGTAGTTGAACGAGAGTACACAAAAGAAGTTGTCCTACTAGCCAAACTTAGTTCAACTACTTCTCCTAATTAATAAAATTCAACTTTACACTATTTTATGTATCTTTGCTAAATATCTTTTTATATGTCTAATCATCTAATAAGATTTAATTACTTAAGTATTTACTTCTTCTTTAATGTGTTTGTAAAATACAATGTTTAATGTTTCAGGCCATTATGAGGATGATTGGGATGCGCATCCAGATCATGGGTATGACAAAATTTTTCCAAACATACAAAAGTAAAAAATGAAGACTTTTATCTTTTAATAAATGTTGAAGGAAAATTATCTGTTGGAAAAGCTGTAAGATACCGCTCCATTTTTAAATTCTTAAATTTTTCACTCCCAAAAAATGTTACTTTATTTATAATTTTCACCTTCTCTATCAATATTTCCCCCCAGAAATGTATTTATTTCCTAATAAAAGAAAAAACTGTTCCAATCATCATATATAACAATAAACATTTAGAAAAGGAATAATTTTCAAGAGAAGATATTTAAATTTAAAAGCTTAGACATGGTTTTTTTTATGATTAAACCCAGGTTTAACGCTTCATCATTGAAACGGCTGAAGATTGCGTGTTTTACGTGATTTCTAGAGAATTAATCTTTTTGTCTTTTTCTAATCAAACTCCGAAATCCGCCAATTACAACCAGTGAAAATCCATCATATATTAAACCCAATTCTCTGTTTCAATTAAGTTCAATCCCAAAGCTCGAGTCTTAAATTAGCCTCGACGACAGCTTAGTCTTGAGTCTTATCTTAACGAAATTTTTAAATTACTTGCTCTGATAAATAATTTGTCCATATTTTATTTTCATATTTTAAATTTTCTAGAAGGAACTCGAGATTCGACCCGAGATTCAGCCCTTCAAGGGTGAGTTATTCAAAATTCAAATTCAAATCTATCGAACATATGTAATTTGAGCCCTATGTAATGGCCAAATTCGAGCGCTGTGTAAGACAATAAGGGTTGGAAAAACGTTGGCAATTAATTCAATATACTACAAATTTGATAGCTTTTAAGGGAGTTTAATCGTAATTTTATGTAACCCTCCAAGCACACATGGCACTGCCCGATTCACAACAGTACCCTTAAAACCTATTTTCCGGTCGATAATATGGAAGATATTGTCGAGTTTTCTAGGTTAAAAGTGTTAAAAATTATGATAATGAACCACAATCAAAACAATCATTTTTCAAAATTGTAAAGATTATATTTAATTTTTACTTTATCAGACTTTTAAGGGTACTTTGAGTCAGACATCTTTGCATGGAGGGTCATTTGAAATTACGCTTTCAGTCCTGTTGTTGATAATTTTAAAAAAAAAGTTAATTGTCACAATGTCACATGGCTCATGGCTTTTCATGTGATTATTTAGAATGAATAATTAATTTATCTGAATTATATTATTCATTAGTTAATTCACAAGCTTATTTTTTCACATTTTTTTTATAGATTTAGGCACTCACCTGTTTCAAATCTTATTTTTGTGCTTATCTTTCCAATCCTTATTGCATTTTTTTTTCATTAGACAAATATTTTTAATTTAACTGGGTTAAAATAAGTCTTAACATGGAATGAGTGAAATAAAATGTTTAGAACCGGGAGTATTCTGGTGATATCAACGACAGGAACTGGAAGTATTCTGATGATTTCAATGATACAAGAGATGAAAACATCGATGTTTGGGAGAATCAACCAAAAAGAGATGAAAACTTGAGGGTCAGAGAAAGATGGTGATGAATGGAATCTACATTCTTCAATCAAGAAAATAGATCAATAATTCAACTTATAATTCATAATAATCTAATCTGCGAAATATTTCATATTCAAGCGAGTGTTCTCCTTTTCATTGTATAAAGCGATTTTCCTCTTTACAAAACCCGAGATATTTAAACATGTTCAAGAGTCCTATTTAATGATTCTCTTCGTAAGTTTGTGAACAGAGAGGTATATATGTTATTAAACCTGTTTTCGTTTCACAATAATTTCTAACCCTGTTTCGTTTTCAGCGATTCTAAGCTTTCATTCTTCCCTTAAAGTGTTGAAGGATTTAAGGATTTTAAATACGATTTTTGTGTTATTCTAGTTTTTACAAGTCTCACTTGATATAACATGTTATGCATCTTGTTACAGTTAATCGTCTTTAAATTTTGCCGTTATTTAAAACGTTTTTCACATTCTGCATTTTCTTCTCAGATCTTCACAATGGGAGCTGAGGAAGCCGATGAAATCTCTGAGAAAAGGAAGAAATCCCCGGAAGAGAAGAAATCAAAATCAGGGAAACGAAAATCAACAAAGGATGTTAAGAATAAATCCACTAAAGAAGGCTCAAGTGTGAAGAAAGAGGAAAGAAACGGGGAGGATTTAAAAATTGCCCCCAAAAGGTCTGCAGATGATCGGCGGGGATCAGACTTATCAGTTTCCAGAAGATCTCCACATCGTGTCGGCGGCAGAGATTCGGATCGTAACGGTAAAGATTCACACCGTGGCGGTCGATCTCCACTGCGTAGCGGAAGATCACCTTATCGTGGCGGTGGATTTTCACATCGTGGCGAAAGATCTTCACATCGTGGCGGAAGATCGCCGCCAAGAAAGATGGCTCGTCATTCTCCACCACGATTCAGGTAAGCTGCCTTCCGATATTTATTAGATATTTTTAATTTTGATTTGAAACTTCGGTTCAGTCTGAATTCAAAACTTAAAATAACATTCTAATACAAACTCCTCTGCAAATCCTTCATTATTTGGAACATATTTTTAGAATTTGATAAAGTTTCAAAAACTAATTATTTTTATTTATTGAAAATTTTCAAACGGTTTTCAAAAAATAAAGTTATTGATTTAATTCATATATTTAAAGAGGATCCGGTCGCGGGAGAGGACGGGGACGTTTTTCCCCGCCTGGCCGTCGCAGATCCCCCGGCCGAGGCCACCCAACAGATAGATACAGAGGCTCTCCTCCAAGATTTAGAGGATATTCACCTCCTAGACGTGGTGGGTATAGAGGTAACAATGTTTTTATCAATATATCTTTAAACATAAACAAAATAAAACTAGGGCTAATGTATATTTAATGAAAAATACCCCCTCGTTTTAAAAAAACATTTTCTTGAATGATCATTCCTTCTTTCAAAAATAATTTTTTCCCAAAGTTTCTTAATTGTGGGAATCAATTGATTATTTATTCACAAATTTTTAAAAATTATCCCTGTGGAATTTATAAATCTGCATTCTGCAAGTGTCTAACAACTAAAGTCTAAAATTTAAACTATATTAATATCAGGTCGTGGTGATGGTTTTTCTCGAAGATCACCTCCGGCTCGGAGACCTTCGCCAGTAAAGTATTTTGGACATCCAGGCGACAGACGGGGATCGCCTCCTAGACATAGATATTCGCCAGGGCGAGGAGGATACTCGCCTCCGAGGTCCAGGTATTCGCCTGATCGCCTTCATCCCTCATCAGGACGGTATCCGGCAGCTAGAGGCTCCAGGGAAGATCTTGGATCCAGGGGTCATTCTGATCTTCTCCATAAATCTGACAGGTTGTGTTTTATTTTTGGTTGTAAGTACACTGCGAAATAGAAAGACGACCGAAAGCAATACTTTGTATTTGTTGTTGTTACAAATCAAAAAGCTGTATTAGACACTTAAAAAATCACCAATTTAGTGAAATGAGTCTGTTTACACTGCACAATTGCAGTGTCCCATGCTAATTGGATTGTTTAAATTCATAATTTGAATTTCTAAAGGTCGTCTTCTTATTTCAGAGTTTTTGGGATCACTGCACTGTATCAAAATATTTGGTTAGGTTAATTGACATATCCTGACTTTTCTTGGTGATAATTTACTATTTTCATTTGTGTTTTTTTTTTCCTATTTAAATAACTTTCTACAGAGGAAAGCAATGAAGGAAAATAGCAAAATTCCACACCTTTGTTTAATGAAAAAAAAAGATTTTTTATTCACACTGTCTTGACTCCGTCTCACTAGAAAATCTAGAGATATTTTAGAAATTGTAAGACTGCAGTTTGTGGCAGATTTTATGGAATAAGGTGCTATTTATGGAAGATTTTTTGGACTAAGCTACTATTTGTAGCAGAATTTAGTGGCAAATAAGATAATTAATGTTGTTATGTGGCTTTTTATTATGTACAATGTTCACCCAGAATTGATATCTGAGAATTTTTGCTTTATTTTGACCAAAGAATAAGATTGGCATATCTCTTAAAGCAACCAACCGATAACTATTTATTATTTAGACCAGACCTACGTAAAGAATCCCGGTACACAGATCAGTTTAGGAAAGAACTAGTAGCTGACCGACCCAGCTCCTATGATAGATCTAGGAGACACTCCTCTCCACTCAGAAAACCAGAATCCTTGCCTCGTAGAGGAGTAAATTCGCCCCCTATACAAACTGGTTCGCCTCTAAGGCGAGCTGATTCGCCGTTAAGGAGATCAGACTCGCCGCTGAGGCGGCCAGACAGTCCGCAAATAAGATCTGATTCTCTATCGCGGCGGGATGAGTCTCCGCCACAAAGATTACTGTCTCCTAAACGGGATCCGATTTCTCCACTTCCTCCGCCCAAGTTTATAGATTCCTTTGGTCCTGTTCCTAGAAGTGTAAGGATGGACGTTGAAGCTCGAAACTCGAGGGCGAAGGAAGAACGATTAAAAGATTTATCCTCGAGAACAAAATCGGTAGATACGAGGTAGAAATTTTACTTAATAATTCGTTTAATTATCATAGGCAAAGCCTTTAAGATATTGTTAAAAAAATATACAGGGAGAATCATTCAGAAAACCCTGGAATAGGAAGACGACTTAGAGGCTCAAAGTATGACTATATAATAGTCCAATGAACATGAGTTGAAGCAATTTTGCAGCGTATTTGCTTTGTAACAACATCAAATATAATTAATTATTGATTTAATGTTGTTTTGAAGTTTTTGTGTTTTTATCGTTTTCCGGGTAGAAGAGTTAGCTTGACAGAGGGAAATTCAAGTTTCAGAATTAGAAATCTAATTACGGAAATAGGAATAGAATAAAAAGGTTTTAATTCTGCTTTGTTATTTTTTAATGTGTTCAATGTGCCTCCCCTTAAAAAGAATTTGAATTTGTTCCCCACATATTAAAAAAGAAAGCTAAAACGTTAAAAAAATGAGTTTGGGGTAAATATTTTTTTTTGTGGGGGTGGGTTTTTTACACCTTGTAAAATATTTTTTTTCTCGGGTAACGGGGAACAGTCGTGAAGAAATAAGGCCCCAATCTCGTGGCATCTTTTTTATATTGATAAAGGTTGAGATCAAAGCTAAGGTTAGCATACGGAGAAAACAAAATGTGTTTTTAAAGAATTATTATTTCTTCATTTTTAGGCGGGAACCGGGTTCCCTGAAACCAAAGAAGACCAAGGCAATCAAGAAGGAACCCAAAGAACCAAAGGAACGAACCAAAAAGAAGACGAAAATTGAAACTTTGGAACTGCCTCCTTTATCGTTCCAACAAACTGTTACATCCACCTTGGGAACATTGGAACCTAGTAATACAAGGTTATTAGTATAGTTCCAGTGAACCAATCCAGTATAGTTATTAATTAATTCTTAATAATCTAGTAACAGGCAACTAAGAAAAAAGAATATTGCAAAATAAATCAAGGCTTTAACCCCCCCCCCCCCCTTGTTGTTGATTTCTCCAATATGTTGTGAAATATTTCTGCTGATTAACAGAATTCTTTTCAGGTTTTACGAGGACAGAAAACGTGAACTCTCTCCATCTCCAGTTAGGTATGTTAAATTCCACCTCTTTCCCCTTTTTCTCTCCTTCCCCTTTTTCTGATTCCCCTGGATCAATCCTTTTAAGAAAATATCTCCCAGACTCCATGATATAACAATCCCTTTATTTAGCAGAATATCTCCCAGACTCCAGGATACAACAATCTATTTAGGAAAATATCTCCCCGACTCCAGGATATAACGATCCCTTTATTTAGGAGAATATCTCTCAGACTCCAGGATATAACAATCTATTTAGGAGAATATCTCCCAGACTCCAGGATATAACAATCTATTTAGGAGAATATCTCCCAGACTCCAGGATATATCATTCCCTTTATTTGGGAAAATATCTCCCCGACTCTAGGATATAACAATCCCTTTATTTAGGAAATTATTTTCCCCGGTCCAGGATATAACAATTCCTTTAGTTAGGAAATTATTTTCTTGGCTCCAGGTTATAACAATCCCCTTCTTTAGGAAGATATCTCCCCGATTCCAGGATATAACAATCCCTTTATTTAGGAAAATATCTTTCCTTTGCGCTCCTTAAGGATATAACAATCCCTTTTTTTAGGAAATTATCTCCCTGGCTCCAGGCTCATATCGAGGGATCCTACCGAGCTCCAGTTACTCAAGTCAACAGTGTTTTCAGGTCAGATTAAAGGGATTGTTTCATCTATTTGGCTTCTCATTTCATTCAACTGCCATTATAGATAATTTCTATTTCTCTGCTCTTTCAATAATTTATTTTGTACATTTTATATTATTTGATTATCCGATTACTTGATAGCATGAATTTTTTGACAAATTCTGTGATTTTCTGACCAATTAAATTTTTTCAAATTATATTTTTGTTTCCTTTGAATATCTGATAGTTTAAACATAGTATAGTATTTCTTTTAAATTATCTAATTTAGTGATCGATTGACTGAATTATTTAGTTACATTTATTGATTTATTTGATTACTGGATTGATTAATTAATAATTATATTAAATAATTGATTATTAGATTAATTGGTTAATGATTATTACCTTGATTTATTGATCTACTGATAGAGTAAATAATTGATAGGTCGGTAGACTATTATATTTATTAATGGATTGATTAATTGATTGATTGATTGATTAAAAAACAATAATAGATTTATTTCAAAGAATCAAATTGATTCCCTGATATTGGCTCATGATAAATTGGTTGGAGGATTGATTAATTGATTGATTCTATATTTATCAACTCAGTGATTGATTGACAGGTCGTACTACTATGTGATTGATTGATTGGTATTTTAATCTACTTTGATATTGATTGATTTGCATATTGATCTATATATTGATTAATTGATTGAATTGCAGATCTGGGAGCTTGGGTCCTATAGAGGAAAAGGAACTAAGAAAGATACAGATAGACATAAGACGGAATATTCCGGAACACAAGGTTTTTAAACTCTCAATAATATGTTGTAATGATAATTTTTTTAAACTAGGATGATCACTGATCAATGATCTTCTTAATGTATTACTTCAAACAATAAGGAAATTGATTTTTATCAAATGGTTATCTCAACTCAAATTTCGACTGTTACCTCATCAATTAAATTTTTGATAGTTACCTCAAATTAAGGTTCTAGCGTAGTAAAGTTTATATAAAGAAAGGAAGGATATAGTAAAGTTTATATAAAGAAAGGAAGGATATAGTAAAGTTTATATAAAGAAAGGAAGGATATAAAAAGAATGGAAAGAGGAAGAACTCCCCGGTCCCGACTTTATTAATTTATTCTCAAGTTTTCTTGTTTCGGTGATTAAAAAATAAATAATTTGTTGTAATTAGGTGGACAAGGTTGGAGTTATACAACGAGGACTGGGAAACGGAAAGCTTTATATCCCGCGTGGAAAACAGGTAAGAATAACTATTTATTATTACATCCCAAGTGACCACTTAATTTTTCTATCATCTTTCCATAATAGTAGCACTACCGACTTATAGGCATATATGGTCCCATGTGAGATGTTTTTGACCTAAAATATATCTTTTAAATTTTAGAAAATCCCTCAAGTTCTGGGGCGGACAATTATTTTTCTAGGCTTTCGGTTGAAAAATAGAAAGTTTATTTTAGTTGATTTTTAATTCTCAGTGAAAAAGTAATTAAAGCGTTGAAATCAAATTTGAGTTAGTTCTGATAGCTTATATTTAGGGCGTGCCAGAAAACGTTTGATTTGATTTGATTTGATCTGATTTGGTTTCGGGATTTTTCGTTTGATTTGATATTATTGGTTTGATTTTGATTTTGATTTTGATTTTGATTTTGATTTAACTTTGAGTTTTATTTGATTTTGATTTGATGTAGGAAGGATTGGAGCCCATATTCCTGAACCTGAAGATGAACGAACTAGAACCTGAGAAACCAAGAGAACAGAAAATTAACTTTATCCCAGCTCCACTTGATAAATATGAACAGAAGTTAAAGGTATATTCTTATATCAAAACAAATATGTTTATTTTTTAAATGGTTAGGTTCTACTTTCGTAGGAGGCCTTAGAAGAATATTTTTTTTCTGCGGTTATGAGCGCCGACCCCTTTTCCATTGAATGATGGGGTTTCTTTAATAATAATAATAATCAAAACAAATCATGAAAATGAGAAGTTATCCCAGCTAAGTGATTTTTTATATTGATTTCGTATGTTTTATAGGGTAGAATAGATAAATTCGAAAATGTTGACTCCTGGGTTTCGCAATCTTAAGTTTTTAACCACTTGTTTTCACCTTTATTGTAGAGTGCTTTTCACCCCATTTTCTGGTATTAAATTTAGATTTTGAATGTTGCTATTGTAGCGGCCTTATTTCCTTTTAAATCTTAAAACTAGAAAATTTTGTGAAGTTGTCTTGTCATTTTAGTTACCAGAAAAAAATAGCTAATTTCACGTTTATTGGGCACACATGAATATGTTGAGCTAAACAATATGAAGATATGGCCTTTCTTGTTCCATTTTAAGTAAGATATCAGACAAAGTAAAGCTCATTTTATTGCAGAAGTTTTGCAAATTTGCAGATTTTTATAGACTAAACAATGAACTAGATATCACTGATGGATCATTTGTTTCTAGGAGCTGGAGGCACGCCAGAATATTGGGAGCAGTTGGGAGGAATCAAGTACTTGGGAGCAGGATCAACATCCAGATTTGAGCAGAGACCTGAATAGAGATCGGAGCAGGGAACAGGAACGGGATAGGAGCAGGGAGCAAGAACATGGAAGAATTAGGGAGCAGGAGCCGATCAGGGATCACAGAAGGGATTGGGAGCATAGTTCACAAGTTATGGGCACTGGAGAAGAGGAGAGAGAGAGAAGAATAGAGAATGAAGATGAATGGAGAAGGAGAGAAGAAGGAAGAGGAGGAAGGAGAGATGAGGATTACAAAAGGATGGAAACTGAAAGGGGAAGGAGAGAAGGTGTGAAAGAAAGGAAAGCTGACGAAAGGGGAAGGAGAGATGATGATAGATTTAGGAGAGGTGAGGAAAGAGGTAGGAGAGATGATAAAAGAGTAAGAAGAGATGAGGATAGAGGAAGAAATGAGGATGGACGAAGAAATGAGGATGGACGGGTTCATGAAGATGTAAGAGGACGACGAGATGATAAGAGATATGGCGTTGATGAGAGGGAAGTAGACAGACACAGAGGATCAAGTGGAGATAAGGGAATGGGTGAGAGAAGACCTAGATCAAATCTGGATGAGAAAATGGATAATAGAAGACCAAGGATGAATGAGGATGAGGGAATGGGTGACTGGAATGAGAATGATAAAATCAGGCAGGAGAAGTAAACTTATTAATTAGTCAAGTGTTGAATGGGTTGTTTGTTACTTTAAATTTCATGCACTCTTTACGTTTCATTGATATTCATTATTATCCAGGGAGCGTTGTTGGTTTTTGGTATCGTGTAAAGGACAACCTTTGGTATAATTTTTATGTGAATATAAATTTTCTGTACGAAGTATGAAACTGATTCATTCCTTCACCCCCTCAATATAAAATTAACCACAAAATAGACATTTTTTTTTCTTTTGTTGGAAAGTTCCAGTTTTTTCTTCTGGGGGTTATTTCTGGGGCCTCTGTCTGAGTTTTGCCACTATGTCATTTGACCCTATGTAGGTGAATCTAATTTAATGGTTAAAGATAAATTATATTTGCTTAAAAATAGTAAGATATAGTCAATGTAATTTCAAGTTACCATTCACCCAATTCAGCAAGGTTCCCTTTAAAGTTTAAACAGTTATACTTGTTTGTCCATTTTAGAATTGATGATCTTGCTTAGACAATGAGGGAAATTGTCAGAATTGGTTGCTTTTTCTTCAGTTTATTCAGCAGATATTTTAAAGTGACATAGTATTGGAAGATGTAATTGTAGAAAGTCCTTTAAAGTCTGATTTGGTTTGATTTTGATTAATAATTCTATCTCTGTGTGCTAGTGTTGACAAAGAACTGTTATCTTTCTCTTCATACCCTAGCAGGATACAGGGTATAACACAGGAGAAGCAGCTGCAAACTATAGAGATACAGGATGAAGATATTAGGTCTATAGAGGTACTAGTTGCAGAGAAAATAGCAAAGATGCTGCCTAAGACAGATCTTCAACCAGTTAGGATAAAAGACACAGAGCCCTCAGCAAACATGATGTGTAACACAGATGTCAAACCAGTTAGGATAAAAGACACAGAGTTATCAGCAAACATGATGCATGAGATAGATGTTAAACCAATAAGGAAAAAAGACTCAGAGATATCAGCACACATGATGCAGGATACAGATATTCAAGTAATCAGGATACACAATGAAGAGATACCAGCAAAAATCAACGATGATAAAGATATTCAACCTAGCAGAGTACAATGTGAAGATATATCTGAAACAGATTCAGAAACAGATACTGAAACAGATACTGAACCATACCCAATGCAAGACAAGGATACTCATCTTTTTACTGAACAGGATTTAGATTTAGAATATTTTAATTTCTGGGGAATAAATAATGTTCAGATCACAATAAATGAAGACAATGAAAGGTTAGTAATGAGTTGTATTGTTCCTTCAGCTTCTGAGAATGCAGCAAACATTTCATTTTTAAAACAGTCGGAATCAGTTCATGAATCTGAATCTGGAATTATTTGTGAATCTGGGGCTGTAACATATCCAGGAACTGAATTGAACTACAAAGATGCATTTAATAATAAGGATGGTTTTCCAAAAGCTGACTTTGAAAACAGAGAGGTATCTCAAACCGGATATTTCAGAGGTTCAAGTGAAGTGAAGGAACCTGGAGTTAAAACAGAACCCATTGTGACAGAACCCACATCTGTAATAGAACATGTGGCAATGACAGACCCAGGTCCTACAGCTATAACAGATCCTGTAATTGTTATAGAACCTATAACCATAAAAGAACCATTGGTTGCAATAAATCCCATCTCTGTAACCAAACCTCTAGCTGTGACAAAACCCATTTCTATGATAGAACCCATGACTGTGATAAAACCAGTGATCGAGATCGAACCAACAGCTGTAATAGAACCCGTTGATGTGATAAAGCCCACAGCTGTAATAGAACCCATTGCTGTGATGAAGCCCACAGCTGTAATAGAACCTGTGGCTCTACTATCCCTCGTGGATATGATTGAAACCGCACCTGTGATAAAACCCAGTCCTCAAAACAAAATATTTATTTTAGAACCTAGGACTATTCCTAAACCCAAGGCTTTAGTTCAATCTCAAAGTGTAATCAATTCTAGAAATTTGAGTCTAGCAAAAACTATTATGGAGCCAGAAATTCCAATTCCACTCAGTGATTCACTTAAAACTAGTTCTACTGTTAATCTTGATGGCTTTAATGATTGCATAGCGGATAATAAATCTGTTGGTGAAGATGAACGAAAATCACAAAATGAACCCTATGAACCTAAAGCTAGTGCTGTTACTGAGTCCAAAGCTGTGATTGATCCTAAAGTAGTTAATGGAACCAGCAATGAGATTGAAGTTAACATTTCTAGAGACGCCAAAGCTTTAGATAACCCTAACTTTCTTATTGAATCTAACACTATAAATGAAGTTAATTCACTTAATGATAATAGAACTGTGATTAAACATAACACTGTTTCAGATCCTGAAGTCTTTTCTGATCTCAAACCGGAATATAATACAATTCAGATTAAAGATCATGATGTTACAATCCACCCTTGTCTTCAATCTGAAACTGAAAATGTATCGAAACAAGAACTTGAACCCTCTGTATCTGCTGGCTACATAAATGAACCTGTGCTGTTATCTGATCCCACACTTGAAACTAATATTTTATCTCTATCAAAAAAGGAAATAATAAACGATTCTCAAGTTGAGTGTGTTACTTCCAGAATTGAGCTCTTTTGTAAAGGTGAAATAAGAACTTTTTCCCAAACCAAATTGCTTAACCCCTTGCATAACTTATCTGCCACTGCCAATGTTGTGGATTCAAAGTTTAATGATTCAATGACTAATAAATCGCCAAGCAAAATTTCACCCGAAGAACCTATTGAGGAAGAAATCCTGGTTTCCAAACATAAAGGTAAAGAAAATATTACACCTGCTACTGCAAAAGATACAAATTCAGATACTGAGTCTGAAACAGATTCAGATATTGACTCCGAAACAGAGATGGATAATGTTGAATCAATTATACCAGTTAAATGCACAAGTCTTCTGAGGACAGCTAATACAGTTGCTTTATCAAAACCAGTCAAAGACGTAGAACCTGTTTGCATTGATCTTACTGATGATGCAATTGAGTGTGAAGAGTATAGACGAGGAAATTGTAGAAGAAGTTACTGCAAGTTTTTGCATAAACCAACAAGAACAAGCAGAATAATTCCAAGGCCTTCAATGTCCACTGGGTTTAGAAAGAAAAAAAAGGCGATTGATGATGATGTAATTCTAATCCTGCCTTAGTAACAAATCAACTCACAGTGCATGAAAACTAGTTTTAATTCATTTAAAAATAATTCAGAGACAGATAAAATAAACATCCAAAGAAAGAACTAGATTAGTTTCAGGGCATTCCCTGAAGAATTCTCAACTCTTATCAGTAAAGGTAGTTCAACAAGAAAAACTTGCACAAATCTTTTTGAAAATCAGTTTTAGAAGGATTAAAGATATTTTATCAAGAACAACTGATCACAGCAAAGAAAAACTTATGGAGCTCACCATCAGAAACAGCCAGATAGTAAATACAATCATAACATAATAACTTTCTTCAGAAGACGCCTGGAATATTTCTAACATCAAGAGTTTGTCAAATAACAAAACATTTATCTTGAAATGAAGGTCCAATGCTAGTATTCGGTATTTTGACAAGTGTTTCAGTTATCATCCGGATTGATTTGTCTAGAAACCTAAATTCTTGGCCAGTTCATTATAGGTTGAACCTCACTGCGCGGACCATTTGTTTGGTTTGAAAACATGGCTGTCAAGTGTCAACTATGTCAATCTGTTGAATCTGGAAACCTGAACTAGATAGAAAAGTTTAAATTGCATATGAGATCAGAAAAGATTATTGTTAGGTACCCATCAGCCAAGTTCAGGTGGGATTAAAAAAAAAGATAATTTCTTTTAAAGCCTATGACTATGTTTTTTAGTTTGCTGTAGAATTTTATATCAACTTCCAACCAGGAGCTTTTTAAGTAGACCTGGAGAATAGACTGGTTATTTTTGGACAGATTAAGAAGAATTTCAATCTTAACCAAATGTGTTCAGGAGGTCTGAAGAACCAAGGGGTAGAAGGTCCCCAGCTGTCTTTCTTAGCCAAGAGTTCCCTCAGGATGTTCTCTTCAAACCAGAGAAGGGAGGGATACTTATGATACTACACTTTTTTGTGTCAATTCTAGATGTACTCATCTGAGGAAATCTTTTTAGTTCTTTTGTAAAGTCTCTTCAAGTTTGAGTATGGATATTTGGCGTCCCTAAACGTCTGATATGATGTTTTTCTTCCAAGGTTTAAAAAAATGTCAAATTTCTTAGATCCCATATTCTAGATTTCATAACATTCCATTACTATTACTTATGAACCCTTGCTCCTTTCTTGATTTAATTAGTTAAAGGAAAGAATAAAATCTTGGAAGAAGGACTTACCAAAAAATCTGATTTGATTTTACTTTTCTTTCTATCAATGGATTCCCTTAAATCAGGAGGTTCTGTACCGCGAGGAAGGTGGTCGTAGTATCAAGGAGCGACTAGGAGGTAAGGTCTCAACCTCTCCATCTGTTAATGACGAGACCTCAAGACAAGCACCAGAAGTGACCCGACTTCCGGTTGATTTAACCCGACTCCCGGCTTTAGAGAGACTAGGGGACAAGAGAGGAGGTAAGACGTTTGTCTGTTTCTGATCATTGTGCTTGGTTATTTAAAATAGAAGGCGTACTGTTCAGTGTTCATACAATTTATTTTAATTCTGTTTATTATTCTTGAACTAATGTTAATGACTTAATAATAATAATAATAATGTTACAATATGGTGATTTGAGCCGGGTGCATGGAATTAAGTGTTCTTTGGATTTTGGGCAGGATTGATTGATTGAAGCTGAAGTAATGAAGGGTTAAGGAAACCTGTTCAAGTATTGAATTATATTGAATTATCACTTCCATTACTTCTAAATTGAGTTTCACGACGGGAATACTTTGATGGAAATTTTATATTAACTCAGCTCTATCTTTCTCAGCAATATGGTCCTTTTATCAATGAGGAGATCAACTAGCATGATTTCTAGTAACTTTCTACAATAAAATGTTTTTACGAGAGGGCTTGAAAGGTTATGATAATGAGGATATAGTTATGGAAACGATGATAATGATGCTTATAATGATAATGACGAAAATAATGATAATTATGATAATGATGATAATGACGATAATGATGATAATGACGATAATGACGATAGTGATGATAGTGATGATAATGATGATAATGATGACAATGATGACAAAGATTATTGTTTTTAATCTTTGTGACAGAAACAATCTCAAGAACTGACGAGGGTCAACTCAGACCGAAATATATTTTCAATAAATGTTGAACTAACATCTACTTTTTTACTATACAGAGGTTTGGTCCATCACCATCACCGAATTTGATGATTATGATGTTAATTATGTCAATGATGATATTGATGACAATGATGACAATGATGACAAATGATGACAATGATTATGATGTTATGATTATAATAGTGATAACGATGATAAGGATGCTAATATGCTAATGATGATAATGATGACATTGATGATGATTATAACGATGATAAGGATGATAATGATTATAATGATAATAATTAGCGCACTAATTTCAGCATTTAACAAAAAATTGGATTAAAGAATGAATATGTAAATGTATTATGAATATCTAGGTAAAGGTGTGAATAAATGGATTAAAGAATGAATATATAAATTTATTATGAATGTCTAGGAAAAGGTATGATTAAATGGATTAAAGAATGAATATATAAATGTATTATGCATATCTAGGTAAAGGATATGCTTTCTTCCTGCCTACCCCCCTAAATCCTCAACATCTCCCTCTCATATTTTAATCCCCCTGTCCCACGGGCTATACGACTAGAAATTACTTTCACTTGGATTCTACCTTTTTAATTTGATTTAATTTGATAATTAAGAATCCGTTTTCATTTTATTGCTGTTATCCTCTTTTTGTGTTCTTCTTCATATTAAAGGAAATAAAATCATCTTTTTTTTTGTGATTTAGTTTAAAATTGGAATAACCAATCTTTCTTCCGTTAGAAGAATTGAAACTAATAAAGTTTTATTTGATCTAATCGATTAAATAAAGGGTTAATTTTTAATTCCTATTGCTAGAATTGATTTTTTACGTTTTTTCTCTTCCTGGTGTTATAATTCAGGAGAATAAAGCGATTCTATTAATTTGTAAATTAATTGGTTTTATTGCAGGGGTTTTCTACCAAGAAGATTTTTTTCGGAGACCATGATGATAGGTGAGCAAAGAGCAATTTTAAATTAATTAGCATATCAACTACTTAGAGTTTTGCTAGCACAGGGTTCTGAATTTTACAGCACAGTCTGAACTCAACACAGCGCACACCAGAATTTGCAGCTGAATAGTGAATACAATAGGATTTCGATAAGTTTACACACTCACATCTCTTACTCAGCAAATACGCTTATGTTTTAAGATTACCGTTGTAAATTAGGCATTGCCATCTTTACATGGAGCTGGGCCGCTTGAAAATACGCTTACAATCCCTTTAAATGATCACGTACTCCGTTTTTTGAAACCCCGAATTGTCCCTTAAATAAAATGAAAATCCTAAACCCGATAGTTTCTGACAGAAATCAGATAAAAGCGGGAAGATAGATATTGTTGGACATAAGATAGATATAAACCGGGGAGGGGAGGGGTGGTGGTATAAGCCTTCGCGTGTTCTTGTAACAATCTCGGTTAATATCTTTAGAATGAGTTTAGAAAGAGTTAGATTTACTAATAATTTTATTTATAAGAGGCACATCTTAAGAACTAAAAATTAGTATTTTTGAAGATTTATATACGTTTACTGCTTTCCGCATTTCTTTTCTGTGTAAGACAATATTTATTTGCTTCACTCCATTATTTTCAGGGGACTTGAGCGAGTAGGGCGTGGAGGAGGACGGGGTGGGGCCCGAGGTGGCCGAGGGGGAGCAGGAGGAAGGTTTAAGAGCGGATCCCCGGGAGGGACTTGGGAGCACGATCTGTACTCGGAGGAGCTGAATGAGGAGCCAACCAGCACCACAGCTTAATCTAAACCCTATAATTTACTGAAAATTTAAAACCACAGATGATGAGATTTCAAGAGGAACTTAATTTTTTTCTTTATAATTGCTGTAAACTGTATTTGAAATATTACGTTGTTTAGGAATTCCCTTTTGAGTTAGGGACAGTATTTCTTGTTAGTATTGTAATGTATAATCTGAAAGCAACAATTAATACAAAAACTTTCTAAATCGCAGAGAGCATTCATAAAAAGAAACTTTGAACATGAAATAAAACCTTATCTTTTGTTTTAAAATACTATTAGGCTATTTAAAAGGGGTTTTCTAGGCATATATTTTCTGAACAAGATTATTAACAATGATATAGCTTCGGTTTTCAGCAGAAAGAGAGCCAATAAGTTTCATCCTCTGTGAGTTAAAATTATTTGTGCGATTTACTTAATCATGTCTGGAGCTTTTTGTTTGAGAAAATGTTTTAATTGACGGCTCTAATTCTAGCTGTAACTCTTTTTTAACAGAAAATGGGAATCAAGGAGAGAAAGGATTTAGTTCTCGAGATTGAAGAAGGGTCGAAGTGGAAGTAAACTTTCCACATTATTGGTTTTCCTGTGGAATGTTAATTCTCTAAAAATCATGAGAGTACAGTTTTATATTCCGGAGAATAATCTTATGTTAAGTTTTCAAACTAAATCGGAGAATTGTTCCCAGCATTCTTACTTAAGATTCAGTCTCTCTGGTAAAAGGTGTGACTCTGATCGGTTCGGAGTATAATTTAAACTATCGGTTATTTTCAGTTTTTGCAATCTGGCAATTGTTGTGAACTATCACATTTTCACTTTTTCTGTACACGGTTTTTATGTATTTTTGGTTTGTTATTTTTCAGTCGGATCGTATTAATATGTATGTTTGAACTTGAAGTTCACGTTTACTAACAAAAATATAAATTATTAACTAGGGTCAGAGTTTATTTTATCCCTTAGGTAAATTTACAATGATCCAACTTGTTTTCTTGTAATTTTATTAATATGTGCCTATATCAATGGAAAACATGTGTTATTATTTTCAATCGCCATTGATATATTTTGTGATTTTTTCAGATGCAACTAGTCAGGGGGGACACTAAGGATGACTCCTACTCAAAACAGAAGAAGCTTTTCAGCTTGGGATCTTTGTAATCAGGTGGAGTACTTTGTTGTGAGGGGAGTACAAAATGTACTAAAATAAAAAAGTTTAAAAGTACAAAATTACAAAATCTTCAGAGAAAATTTCAAGAATTGTAAAAAAGCACATAAAAAGCACAATAAGTACAAAAGGGTAAAAAAAGTGGAAAGGGGTTTCAACAACGTTCTTGAGTGTAAGTGAAAAACTGAAGTAAAGAAGCAACAATTATCTCAGTTTTGTTTAACTAACATACATTTAATGAAATATAATTTAAAGGAGGAGCAAGGGAACCTTAAAAAAATGTCCTCTCTTGGAATTATTCCGCCCAGTAGGTAAATACACACAAATTAATAAATATATAAAGAACACCCTTGAAAGGAACTTCATCAAGCATAGTTTCATGTGACCCTCCATGTAGAGATGTCAATACCCCATTGCACAACGACGATACCCTGAAAAGCTTAGTTTTTTTTTTCCGAAAATTCAATACTATTAAGCAAGAAATATTTTGTATTTTTCATGATCTGAGAGTTACTTTTGAAAACATTTATTTCTGTTTCGAGGATTTTTGATAATGAAGACGACATTTTCTATTTTCCAGGAATGTTCGAAAATCCAGCGCCAGCGGAAATTATTTTTAAAAAAAATCAAAAATATTATGAAATATTAACTATATACGAATGCGTCGAAAAATAATAGATGACTAATGACTATTGTTTGTAATATCTGAATGATTTGTTTGGAATTAAATTGATTTGTTTACATCCAAGTTGAATGTTGCATCTTTCCGAATTTGTATTGACGCTGCGTTCTTCGGTGTGAGTCGTTTTTAACAATTTTCTCCTTATAGACGCAACAGATAGAAGTAAGAATAGTAGCGATTAAAATCGCTTATTTTTCGCCGAACACTCCCTTTCAAGGGTACCGTTGTGAATCGGGTATTGCCATCTTTGCAAGGAAGGTCACATGAAATTACTATTACAATCCCTTAAAAGCTTTTATTAATTTTTATGAACAAATTGATTCATTTAAATTTTCATTTAATTTAGTTTGTTTACAATAAAACTCGATTTAAGTTGTGTTATTACGTCACAGATAATATAGACAAATTTTTTCCCCTAGAACTTGAGTTCTACAATTCATGGTCTGAAAAGCTCTTCTTACAAAAACTGGGTTTCTGTTAATTAAAGACGAAATTTTACTTGTTACAATTTAAAATAAAAATGGGATTTATATTAAATTAAAAAATGAACCTTTCCTTTAACTTGTAGAGCTTCGTAGTCTAATATTACTGAGGAGTAATGTTTAGGATTTTCTGTGAGTCGAATACAGAGGAACTGACAGGACTCCAGGAGAATATTGAGCTTAGGAAATATAATTCTCTACCCCCTTGTTATAAACACAGGTATATCCTTTTTTCTCAAGTATTTCAACTCATAATAAGTAATTAGTTCAACTCAAATTAAATAGTTAGTTCAACTCAAATTAAATAGATAGTTCAACTCAAATTAAATAGATAGTTCAACTCAAATTAAATAGATAGTTCAACTCAAATTAAATAGATAGTTCAACTCAAATAAAATAGTTAGTTAGGTTAGGAACAAATCTACCTGGAAGTTACTATATTAATATCAAATTAAATTAATAAGTAGCTCAGCTAAACTCAATTAAGTAGCTGAACTCGAAATAAGTTGTAGACAAATAAGTAGTTGAACTCAAATCTATTTTAAAGGAAATTGTGAAACAATTTTTTTAAAACCAGTTTGGCCTGAACGTTTTTTTAATCATGAAGGTTTTTTGGCTTTTAGTTATGTCACAAAAATCAACTATTTTAACCTACGTACTTGATGATATCACCAAACTGAAAAGTATATGCAAATCGAATAAAAACAAACATTTAGAAAATTGATTTTTTATATATTTTAAATTGTGGATCCTAACAAAAGTGCCTGTTAAAAAGTAGATGATTTAGGATGCTTTTATCTGCTGTAACTCATCCTGAAAAGAAATGTTTCATAAAATATAATCATTATGTCGATCCCTGTGGATCACTTTTAATATTGTAGAATTCTGTATCTCTCCATAATAATTTGAAGAGCAATCTGCATAATATTATTAGTTTATCTCAACTCACCAGAATATTGTATTTTGTCATGTTCTGAAATTATGTCATTTAACATTTGGGATGTCAGAATTCTTTCCCGATATTGAACTTTCCTAAGCAAGATACATCTGCTACTTTACAGGGAAGTTTAGGGAATTTTTCTTTATCCAAAGGTTCCCAAGGCCAATTTTGCCTACACAATATTATTTATTTCTGTGATATGAATGTGTGTGACGCTGATGTGCGTCCCAATCGTACGTTCTCAATAGTAGTGTGTATCTAATAGTGATGTGTTCTCTATGACGTTGCACTGCGTCCTGTGTGTGTGTCCTTGCTATTAACTTAATATTGCATCCTAATTAGGGCATTTTCTTGCAATACTTTCAAAGAATGTTGATTATTTTTTCCGAGGGCAAAAAGTCTAGCTTCCTTATTTATGTTAGGGAATAATTAAAGTGAATAAAATTTTCATGTTTATTGGAGTTTACATACTACAATTCTAAATGACTATGCGGTGAAAAATGTAACTTGAACTTAATCTAATCCTTACCAGGAAATACTAACTGAAAATAATTTCTAAAACAACTCTGTTCTGAAAAATCCTCTGCCATTAAATCTCAAAATGTTGCACTTAAAAAACTCAAATCCAAGATTATTTTTTTTTTCAATGAAAAAATTAGCAATACTGAATTTAAAAAGATCTGTCTTCTTTTATCCAAAACACTCGTCTCATTGTAAAATATTCTATTAGAGTTCTTGAAAAACATGTTCTGGGAAGTTGGAACCACAAGATAATAAAGGAAAATAATTCCAACATTAAATGTAAAACCTCGGGGGGGAAAATTTTTCCTGGAATTTTTCTCGCAAACTTAGTCTCGACAGAGATTCTGTAATAGTCAGAATGCTTTTTTACAACTTACTATTGTAATCTTAGTCTCGACAGAGATACTGTAATAGTAAGAATGCTTTTTTACAATTTACTATTGTAATCTTAGTCTCGACAGAGATACTGTAATAGTAAGAATGCTTTTTTACAACTTACTATTGTAATCTTAGTCTCGACAGAGATACTGTAATAGTAAGAATGCTTTTTTACAACTTTCAATTGTAATCTTAGTCTCGACAGAGATACTGTAATAGTAAGAATGCTTTTTTACAACTTTCAATTGTAATCTTAGTCTCACAATGAAATGGCTATATAGTTACTGTTACATTATGGCATAATTAAAAAATACTAATATATGTACGCAGTACAGTGAACACTACTGTACACGTCGAAACAAACAAAGTAATCAAGGACTTCTCATGAAGTTCAAAGTCATGAATGACATGAAGGACAAACTCATTAAGTACTAACTCATGTAGGACAAACTTATGAAGGACATGAAGTACAAACTTATGAAAGACATAAAGTACAAACTTATGAAGGACATGAAGCATAAACTCATGAAGGACTTACTCATTCATGTTGTACAAACTTATGAAAGCAGAAAGACATGAAGTACAAACTCATTAAGAACTTACTTTATGAAGGACAAACTCATGAAATATCAACTCATAAAAGGCAAACTCAAAGGACAAACTCAGAAAGGACAAACTCAGCAAGGACAAACTCAGAAAGGACAAACTCATGAAGAACAAATTCATGAAGGACCAAACTCTTTTAAAGGATACACTCCTGAAAGACAAACTATTGAAGGACAAGCGTCTGAAAGGACAAGCTTATGATGGACAAACAATGAAGGAAAATCTTTTTTATAGTTCTGTTGTTAATTCAGAAAGCGAGCTTGTTTGACTTTGAAGGATCCCCATCCGAAAGAGAGCGGAAGGAAGAAATTGGTGAGTACTCTCTTTGTATTGTGAACCCATCAAAATGAAGCAATTTTATTCTCTTAGAAAGTTAATCAACGTTTTTCAATCCTACACAAAAGAATGCCACAAATTATTATTTACAGGTTGACCCTGATGAGTTCCAGAGTAGACTAAGTGTACTCAAGGATTGGATGAATGAATTCTCTGATGTACAAAAACTAGCCCTTTTACAAGGTATAACTGTATCTCAGATGGAATTTAAAGAATTTGAGCCGCGGTTTAAATCTGCCAAAACCCGGTTTAAATTAAGCGCCGGCTTAAATCTTGAAACATTTGATACAATTTTAAGTGGAACCAACCATATTTAAGCCGCGGCTTAAATTTAAACCGCCACTCAAATTCTTTAAATTCGGCCACTGGTCTATTTTTTTCTGTTCCGCTACCCTCAGCTTCATTTAAAACGTAGGACTCGGCCACTTCTTTTTAAACTTAAAACAAAATTTCAGTGATTTCACCTTTTATCCCGAAATTTGACATCTTAAATTTTCAAGTTCAATCTGTGTGGAAAAAACAAAAGCTATTGACGACCAAAGTTTTATTCTTTTTTATGATTCATAACATTTTGAAAAATAAATATTTATGTTGCGTGTTTTTTTTTATTATCTTCCTATTCTTTACATGTAGTAATTTGAAACCTTAAAAGATATTATCTGAATACGAGTTGATTTCAGTTAATGGGATTGGGAGTATAAACGTTCGAACTTTTTATCTATCGAACAACATCTTGAACATTTTCAAAATAATATTCTTTTATCATTTTTTTGAACTAAGAAGTCTGGAAAAAATGCTGACTATTGGTTTTACAAGATCTATTTCAGAAAGTTTATATTTCTTTTCAAGTTTTTCCATTAAGCAATTCTATAAATGCAATACTTTTATTTTATTCGAATCATTGATAAAAATGAATTTTTAAAATTTGGTTGTCTATTTTTGAGCCTTTAAGATTAGTTAAAGTCAAAATTGGATAGACTCACAATTAATTGACAGTTAATCAGACGACTTTACACATATATTTCCTAACAATTTTAAGTGCTCAAAAAGGCAGACCACATTTTGGAAATAGGTCTTTTTATGATTATAGTTGTATCAATCATATTTGTAAAATTAGATTGTAAAATTGTCTGATTAATTGTTAATCAATTCCGGCTCTTTCTAATTAGAATCTATAAGACGAAATAGAAAGACGACTGTATGGCTCATGTGAGGAATTTAAATAGTCTTAAGGCATAAAATACAGCAATTGTGCAGTTGACACAGAACCTCTGCCCACGCTACTTGTTCGTTTTCATGCAACTGTTAAAACTAAGTATTTTTGTCTAAACAGAAACACATATCGTCTACCTTTACCACAGTTCAATACGGCAGAAAATATCTTATACACTCACACGTTAGATTATAATTTTACTAATTTATCTAAATCTCATGTTTATAGGAGAACCCTGTAGTGTATAGTGGGCATATATTAAGCAAGCAATGATAAAGTTAAATGCATGCTTGAGAAAAGAACAACAACCATTTGCATAATTCATTTCAACAGTTAACCCC